TGAATGATAGCCCTCGATGACTTCTCGTAATTGGGTTATAAGAATAATTTCTAGCTTTCCAGGGACACTGAATCAGCACCAAACTTTTCCAGCTTTATTTTTCATTTCTATGACCATTTGCAATAAATGACAAAGTGACTGATTTCTTTACTATAATTGTGTTCACGCATATTTCCGACACAAAAACTAAGAATTAATGTGTTAGCTGGCATTATTTTTATTCCATACAAGAAGTTATCTCTACCCATGTATTTACACGGTTTTGTGGGTTTTTTCAATCGCTTATATCATATCTTTTTAGTTGTATGCAGGCTGCCACAGACACAGCATGATTCATTAACAACCACAGAGTAACTTTCTCTTGCTTAATAATAAAATATGAGCTCACGCTGGTCGTCTTTAGTTAAAAAATGCAGATATGCATCTTTCTTCTCTTATAACTTGACTATTACTACTTGAGCAGATTTAAGATTTCTCGTGGTAAAAGACATGATATTCATTGTCAATTTAATACAGATTTTGGAGAGATCTGTCGTGCCTTTTTAAAATTAACAATCATTTATTCATAAGTTTGTAACAAAAATAGGACAAATTGGGTACTCTACAAACACTTGTCTAGAACAAAAACTAAGTCACAGATATTAATCATTCTCACGCAGAATAAATATCAAGACATTGAGCTTTTAGTACATCTGCGTAATGGTTTGCTGTGTGGGATGGGGAAGAAGTTATATCGTTTTAAACATAGCCAAAAATGTGAACTTCCTAACTGACACCGGCAAAGTCACTTCGGGGCTCATTAACCCCGTGACCATGAGCCGGGGAGCTCCGGCGGACTGCTGAGTCACGCTAACTAGAGGTAACAAAATCAGGCGAAAAGTGACGCCATGTCAAAGGAAGATGAACCTTATTGTAGCAGCGAGATCTTGGCGGTAGGTAAACAGAAAATGACTGCTGCTTTATTTTATTTGCTAATATATATGTATATTTTAAAAATGTGTGTGTGTGTGTGTGGGGAGGGGGGGGGGTTTACATGCATAGTAAATAGTATATATAAGTTTTGGGTTGTAGCCCATTTTTATTAATATGTGTAGCAATGACCACGAAAAACCTTTTTTTGCCAGAAAGTGTTTGCAAATAGGTGCATTATGTAGCTTTATCTTCACCAAGCATGGAACTTTTTGAATTTTTGAAATCCATCAATAAACAAAAAAGTTACGGATTTTTTAATCAATTAATTTCTGGTACACTTTTATATAATGAAAAAACCCCAAAATATGGGACGTTCTTTGGTGAGTTTTGAGACAATATTCATCATAACTCGCTCATTTCTCGGAGTATTTAAAAGAAACTTGGCAACCCAGTACATTTTCTAGTGCAGAATCTAGTCCTGCTTTCAGATTCTTCATAGCTATCCTATTTTTTGAGTTATGAAGACGTTTATAGGTAAAAATGTGGCGGTTTTCGGTGCGTTTTGAGACAATATTTGTCATAGCTCGCCTATTTCTTGGAATATGTAAATGAAACTTGGCAGTCTAGTACATTTTTTAATGCAGAATCTAGTCATGCAGTCAGATTTTTAATATCTGTCATACTTTTTGAGTTGTAAAGACATTAACAGGTAAAAAAGTGGCGTTCTTTACAGATTTACAAAGATTATCAGTCATATGTTCTCCCAAAGTCATGATATTTGAATGAAACTTGGCAGCATAAAAGGTTCCTCCTTGCCAAGCAATGCTCTGGATCAATTTGTCACAAAAATGTAAATAGAGAGCTGGATTTATTAGTCTAATAAATCCAGTTCTCTACTAGTAAAAGCATGCATACTTTGTTAGAAAATAAGATCGTCTCTGTGTATATTGTTGGACAGTGTCCTATTGTGTGGTAGATTAAGTTGCGTTCAGATAATATAGTTTACAAGTCATGGGAATATTTCGCATGTGTAGGCTACAACTCATACAATAAATGTAACATATTTACACCCCCCCCCCCTTCTCTCTCTCTCTCTCTCTCTCTCTCTCTCTCTCTCTCTCTCTCTCTCTCTCTCTCACGCGCGCGCACAAACACACACACGCATGCACGCGCGCGCACTCACGCACGCGCGCGTGAACGATAAAAATGTATAAACGGGACTATCTTCCCAGACTTGACTAAATAAGTACCATACTCTTTAATAACAATCTTAATGCCTCACTTTTCCAAACAGAGCGAACAGGACGAGTCCAAGTGTGTGGTTTCCCAAGAGGGGGGAATAGGCTTTCATAACGCAAACACAATGCCATACCAGTTCTCAAGATGTTTGCTTTTCTATTTCTATTCTTCTGTCATGCAATCAAGCAAATAAAAATGACTACATCTATTGTATTGTGACTAAAATGCAACACAAACGCAAGTTGTCAGGGCCCCCGTTTAGTTTTCAAGTATCCTTCCCCCCCTTTCCGGTTCACATAAGCGGGGCCTCGTTTGTAGCGCCCGAGGCGACCGATGGCTGATGACGTCACTCAGTGGAAATTTCCCAGCCGCAGGTCGTTCGCAAATGGCAATGCCGCTTTTTCCCTTAGTTACTCCCACATTTTTAAAGATTACGCAAAAACCGCTAAACACAGAAGCTTGAAATTTTAAGGGAATAAAGAAAAATGGTGTACAACGTATCAGTCAGTTTGACAAATCACAGCTCCGAAAAATCTTCAAAGCGCACCACATCAACCACTTTCGCAAACGTTTTCGACTGCTTCTAGGATGGGTACAATGTTGTCAAACTGCATACTACTAGATTGACCTCTTTTCTGATTGGCTGCCAAGTTTCATTCATATCCATTCACGAGAAGCGGCGTGAGAGCGAGTTGAAGACAACAACCTTTGCGTTAGTGCGTCCCGTGAAACACACCCGCTGCGGGGGCCAAAAATCGGCAGAACAAAACGCGCTCGGTGGGCATTGCTAAATATGTGTGTTGTTTTATGTGTGTGTGTGTGTGTGTGTTTTGGGGAGGATAGAGGGATGGAAGAATGCCTGCAAGAGATATTTGTGAATTTATGATATATGTACGCATGGCTTTTTGCATGCCCCCGTGAACATCTAATTCAAGCACTGTGGCTGTTATCGGCCAATGGCGTTTACCTGTCGTTCTCTAGCTATCCGCTTGTGTAGAATCTAGATCTCTAGGCCTATTTTTAGCTGCAGATCACAATGATTTGTACCCCCCCCCCCCCAACCAAACGACTGCATAAATCGGTTATTTCCAGAAAATTTTAAACCTAATTAGATCAAATATTTCGGGAGGACTTTCGTAACGAGCGACCACTATGAGTACTATGAGACAGTAGTAGTAGAATAGAGGGCACTTTTTCAATTTTCGGTAGTTCCCACCCCCCAATGACTATTCGACGGTTTTGGCCTCAAGAGTAAGGGGGTTTCAGGTGGGCTTGCCCCCCTGACGTTATAAAAATAGGATTTTACCATAATTTGATGTTTTGCAGTTATTAGGTTTGATCATTGATATCTCTCGCTCACCGCACATCAAACATATAGATCTAGATCTAGGCTCAAATAAGGGGGATGGGAACTACTGAAAAAGCACTGAATAGAGGGCTTACTTGAGGTGGTTTAGGGTTAGGTCTCTTCTTTATTGTGTTCGTTGGGGTGGTCGCTCGTTACGGAAGTCCTTCCAATATCTCAAATGCAGTGACTACGTTCACGGCGCCCTGAACCATTGGCATAAGCAGAAAGGCACGACTCATGCTACGGTAGCTCAAAGTTTAAAGTGAATGAGGAAACTGCACAGGAATCTACTCGTGAAAAATAATGCAGTGGTGGTCCGAATGCAACGGAGTTTATGGAGGGCGAAGGCGGGCACAGAAAAAACGTCTGCGGTCGACAAGGCTTGGCTCGCTCAGTGCACGGAACACAATTCCAATCCTCTCTTCTCGTGTGCAGACCCGGCAACGCTCGACAGTGAAAGTAAAAGTCGTTCCAAAAAACACGGGAGAATGGAAGAGGGGTGGGAGGGGGTGAAAAAAAAAGGAAAAGGCTAGGTGGTGAAGTGAGTAAGATCATTCTTAATTGCAAACCACATTCAGGGCGCCGTGAACGTAGCCACTGCGCATTTCAAAACAAAATAATTAGGTAGACCTGCTAATCGGGATCAAAATCCCAATTTTTTGCTCCAGACCTCAAGCATCCTGATTTTCCCCTTTTCGACCATGCATATCCCCTTCTTTGATATTCTGTCTGTTGCGCCGGATTTTTCTAAAAACTTGCTCTACCTTCTTCTATCACAGGAAGCTCCCGTTAAACTTTTTGTCAGCAGGGACTCGGAGCACTATTTTCCTAAATCCTGTCCCGGATTTTGTAGTTGACTCTCCTTAAGTTGTGTTGGAACCACAGAATTCTACACTACTATCTATAGAATTCTGTGGTAGGAACTTTGCCCACATGTGTTATTTTGACTATAATGGAAGTAATTGGGTTGGCCTTCCGATTTGGGACATTCTCAAGATCTACTCTAGTTTTTGTTTCCACTCAGAATTCTCCGATGATGGCCTGATAACTGTTTTGGTTGTGACATAAAAACGATTTTTCGTAGTTCTGCTACTATCAAAACAAGCTTCTTCCGAGTTCTGATAAGGCGTAGTCAGTCCAGTCATCAAGACCCATCAGTAAAACAATTTCAACCGCACGTTTGCATCATGTGACATGACTTCGCTGTGGTGAGTTCCTCATGTGTCAGAGACAGTCCGTTGAGAAGGTCAACTTTAGTTCATGCGCGCACACGCACATACACACACACACACTCACACACTCACATAATTTTTTTTTTGAATCCTAAAGCTGGTAATTGCCACTTTTCAGCTTTCAGTTTGTTGGAAGTCTGTATGTGAATACTTTGATGAATGCATAATTTAGCATATAGTACTTTGCTCTGAGCAAAAGAATATTTGAAAGTACTGTCTGACCAAAATCGTGTCTGTTGATACTGTTATCTCAATCCCTCATTCCCCAGGAAATTACAGAGTGGAAGTGTTTGATTCAAAGATAAATGCATTTGTCCCAACTGTTTATGGGCTAGGCATGCATGTGGAATGTAGGGATCCAGATGACCGCATTATCCTGTCGAGGGTAAGAGTGAGCACCTCTGCCCATGCCGCCTGTGGACAACAAAGTGCTTTCATGCATCATGTTACTTATTCTATCCCTAGAAAGTTAACAAGTCATTGTATTTACTCAGTTAAACACTAATATGTATTCCAGGCTTGACGATGCTCCGATGCTAGCTTGAGCCTGAGCAGCACCCCTGAATAACCTGCCCCTATAGCTTTGATTTCTCTTTTCTTTTTTTCTATTAACCAGGTGGTGTTTGGTATTGATAACAGCATGAACATTTCTGTATGAAATGGAGGTGTACATTTCGTAAAACGTAAAATTGACCTTGTATTTTAAAATAGTTCTTGATCTGTAAATTTGAAAGGGAAGCTTCTTTGAATGTGAGAAGAGCTTGTTCTTCAGCTTCATCAATGTGGCAGGCTGAGAAGGATGTAAACAATAAAGGAAGCCTGGAAGCCAAGATATCTATCAAGATGCATTTCTTAGTTGTGAAGTATGCTGCTTATATAATGAATGAGAACGACTGCTCTGCATCTAGTGGAATTCTCAGGGGAGCTCTGCTTCTTAGTCTAATTGGATCTGTGCATGGTCATGGGTTAGCTGACTATTCATCCTTTCACCTTTGAAGTTAATCAATGCTGAAAATTTTCATCATCTTATAATAGTAATACCATTGCTGTCCCACAAAAACAAAAAAATGAAGGCCTTTCAAGTTTTTGTGCTCACCCTGTTTGTTTTTTTTGGTGGTCAAATGGGAGCTGAGCATCTTTCCTGCAGCAACAGTATGTCTACAACCTTGACTGGGACTTGCCAGTTACACATGTTTTGACTTGGGAATTGATAAATTATACTGCAGCCTTTGATTTTGACCAAGACAACATAGTCCTTTTCCACAGAATGAAACTCTTAAAATTACAGTGGAGTCCACGTAAGCCAAACAGGGTTAATCTGAAAATGTTGGTACACCAAAAAAAAAAAGGAATCCCCAATTTTTTTCTTTGCTATTTGAGCAGTCTTTCTAAAGATTAAAAACAGCTAAAACTGAAGAAAATTCAGCTGTGTCTCAGATTTCAATTTCAGTGGACTCCACTGTGTATGGTCTTATACATAATCTGCGTCCTATACTTTTTCTTTACTTCAGTGGGATTTTTAAAATTTGTTTTTATTATGATATTTTTGTTAACATTTTGAGACCTCCCTCCACTCAGGTGCTATTTTAAAAATGTGAACAATAAAAAATTTCAAATGCTGAAGAAATGAAACAAAGAAAATTGATAGTTCAAATTTTCTTTGCTTCTTTCAGGTAACTATAAGGTCCAGGCGTTTGATGCTAATGTAAAAGACTACTTACCGGTGTCTCCTGGGATAGGAATGCATGTTGATGTTACTGACCCAGATCAAAAAACTGTTCTGTCCAGGGTGAGTTAAGTTAATTAGTTTGAGTTTGCTTTCACAGTGTACTGAATTTCAGTTGCAGTTGTGAATTCACCCTTGAGTACATTGTCAAGTTAGCAGCATGGGGACTGGCAGAAAAATGCTACTATAAAATTTTCATCCTTGTTACAAAGCTGCTTTTTTGTCAGTTTGATCTGATATTTCCCCCCCTTCCTCAGTCCCTCTTTATCTCTTTGGTTTGACGCACCATGTATTAGAGCTAAGTCTGTATGCACAAGGAGAGTAGCAGGATGAAGCAGTGCTCTCCTTGATGTTTCAGCATCATACTCCTCATCTTCAGTCTTTTCCTTCAGTTTCCTTTGCCAGTTTCTAAGACCCACCAACTTCTGATTTCTTCACTTTACTTGTGCGTTTGTCACTGCTGCCACAAAAATTGAGAATAATTGTCATTTTTATCATTTTAATGTCTGTTCTATTTAAAAGGAATCTACCTCTTTTCTGTCAGTTCAGACAGGTTTTTTTTATAAGGTCGAGCTCCTGTCTTTGTGCTGCCACAGATGAGGCATAATATGTATGAGTAATATTTAAGTCTAAAATCTTTTAGAAAAATATTTTAATTGTATAGGTGGTGGTATGGCGTCATTGATAGGTCCTACTTCTGTTTCCTACCTCTAGTGTTCCTGTTTGTCTTGCTTTTCCCGCTCACTGGTCATTGTGTCAGTGTGCTTCTACTTTTTTCAAGGAAAAAAGATATTTTGATTGTATGTAAAAATGAACAATGTAAGCATTAGAAAATAATATTGATGGTCAGTTTTACACAGTCTTTGGACAAATTATTAATATATACAAGTGTTCATTAAAAGCAATCATGTATTTAAATGTTTGACTTTGCATGAACATAAATTACTTGGGGGGGATTTTTTAGATTAGATTTTGTTCATGGCATGCGCATGTGTAGATTGCTTGATTTGATGTGGTTTCGCTATTCTTTCTTCTAACTAGCATCTGTGGTCTAATAGTGTGATAGAACTCTTTTCAGTTGCACACAGAAGACATTAGATTTATTCCCACATGATGAAGTTGTGAGGAATATTTTTATGTTCTTACTCAGATTCAGTGTATCGTACTTGGCACTGGTTGGCTGTGACAAGCAGAGTGAGAGTTGAGCAGCCCACGGCCTAAATTATCAAAGTTGTATCTATGGGGGTGTGAAACCTGTAGCCTATTTTCAATCCAGTTTCTGTCATCCTTTGATTATAATTTTTTTCCTCCTGCCATGTCTGATGTCTGTTTATCACATAGTGATGCAGTTTTGATTGTGATCATATTATGTTAGGTTCCTCTAATTTTGGTTTCAGTTTTTGTAAAATTTAAGGAATAGTGGTGGTTTTGAGTGACTTGCCATAATTGGTGCCCATTCTGTTGAGGGTTTTTTTCTTTGTTTGTTTTAATGCTCAGAATAAGCACTCCAATGAATATTCTTTAACTTTAAATTCAATTGTGTTAATGAGCAAACTTTGGAATGAACAAGACCAGAATGGCTTCATATGCGGAATCAGTCTTTCTGTTACTGCGATTAACATAGTAATTTCTCCTGTGTACAAAAATGTACAGTTATGTTTGTGAGTTAAGTTCATGTAACATAATGCTTTTGAGAGTGCATGCACATGTGTATACTACTTTAACAGCCGGGCTGTCTATCACTTTTCAACCTGTTGCCTTGCATGCTTGACAGATGTTCAATTGCTGGTTCACTTAAGTCAGTTTCATAGTTTTATGCTATAATTATACTTTTCATGTAGTACTCAAATGGGTCTTCTCTTGTCTTTAATAAAAAAGAATTGTCTCCATTCTTTCTCCCTGTTTTCTCCCTTTGTCTCTGTTTTAGTAACTCTTGTACTTCAGATATTACTCTTCCAAGTGTTCTTATGATTAATACTGTTGTATAGTAGGTAAGTAATATTTTCTATTTTCTTGAGGTTTGAAAAGATTGTATGAACTGATAGGGGTTGGGGGGGGGGGGGGGGTTACCTTGCGTTAAACAAAATACAAGTATCTTTCTCTCAAAAATGTTCATTCACTGTGACCTTACTTTTTTGGAAATAGCATCATCTACAGCTAAATTTTGCAGGGTTAGTAGTTCATATTATTGTTGTTATTATTATTATTTATTTGACTGAAAAAAAAAGAACTGTCTCTTATCAGATGTATGCTTAATTTCAGACATATGCAGCTGAGGGCCGATTCACATTTACATCTCACACAGCTGGGGAGCATGTAATCTGTCTCAATTCAAACTCTTCGGCCTGGTTCAACGCTGGACAGTTGGTAAGTAATACTGTTGTAACCATGCTTTTGTGGTTATAAATGCTAACTTTTTATTGTTTTTATATTTAAAAAAGTGATTTGTGGAGTCTGACTTGATGTCAGGTCTGCGAAAAAGTTGTGCAAATAGAACAAGACCCTCGTCAATGTTGTCTAGCACTAATAAGCCATCTGCCGATATGCTTATTGTACAGGGGAGGCTAATAACTGTTGGGTTTAACTATCACAGACTATTCAACTCAACAGTCACAAAAATAAATAGAAAATACATACTGATTGGCAGCTATATATTGAGATGCTGTTATTCGATTCTGCTTTATAACAAAGTCAAACATCAGATTTTAGAAAATTTCAGAGTTGACTCATTTTTGCCAATCATTATCAATATATTGTTCTGAAGTGCTTCTACCAGCATCTTTCCTATATTTTTACTACATCAAAAGAAGTGCATTTCATGTGAGATGAGTAGACATGATTGAGCCCATGCGCCAAAACAATATGACAAACGCTCCAATATGTGCTGATTTCTACTTAGGGGCCAGTACTTCGTTATTTCCTTAAATTGTCATTCTCGTATCCCTCTTGGATTCTGGCAATAACTAGACATGGTGAGATATTGTGTTGTAGCCGTTCTCTCATATTTGCTGGATTTGATTGGGACTATTTTTTAAAACCTTCAATCTCTAATAATCATGTTTCCTTCTGGAGATTCATTCTCATCATAGCCCATATGCTTCTCCAACAAAACTAGCCAATGCTCCCTCTGTCCTCAGCGCGTGCATCTAGACATCAGCGTAGGTGAGCATGCCGTGGACTACCAGCAGGTACAGGCCAAGGACAAGCTGACAGAGCTTCAGCTGCGCGTGAGGCAACTGTTGGACCAGGTGGAGCAGGTCACCAAAGAGCAGAACTACCAGAGGGTGGGTATCTCAGAGCCTCAACTTTTAAGTCCTGTGGGCCCATGTGTGAATCTGATCAACTGTGCTGTATAAAAAGTTTGAAGAAATCAGTGCATAGTTGAGCTTCAGTTGTTTTGGTAAATGCTTAATATTCAGTCAGAAATACATATATTGGTTTTTTTATGATATCAAGTAAGAATATTGATAATGCTTCTCTCAGTTTCAAGGAAGTGTCTGTGTTTTCAAAGTGTAGGTTGTCATATTTATGCATGGGACCACAGAAATGACTTCATATTTCCATTAAAAGAAACCCAGATACCATTTTCTTGCTTTTAAGAAATAACAGGAAAAAAATGGACAGGTTTATTGAGTCCGAGCCTCCTTCTTTGGGCCAGCAATGTTAAAACTCGTCAGCCAAATTCTTTTCGTGTAAATTTTGAGACATCCTGTATCCATGCTCTTTTGTGTGTTCTTGATTTCCCCCTTTCATCCTTTTACCTCACCTGAGTGTATCTCCTGAGTGTGTTGAGTTTGTGCTCCGGCCTTGGGTTGAAAATAGGCCTGCAGTTGACAAATTTATAGTATTCTGTGCACCGACAGAAGTGCTATGGGCTATGGCATCCCCTGGTTAGGGTAGGTTTTTTCGAGGATGTCACTGGCAGGCTGCGTCTTTTCTTTCCCTTTGTTGTTCTGTTTGTCTTGCTTTTTCCTGCACAAAATTAGTTATTGCGTTGATGTGCACCCCTTTACTCAAACAAATCTGGACAGATGTTCACATGGCAAAATGGGCGAACTTTATTCCTAGGACAAATTTTAGAAGTCTGAATAGAGTGTTGACTGTTCCTTATTCCTTCTGTTCTTGTCGATAGCTCTGTGGCACCCTGGTGGGTGGTTGACGGGCGCTCTTGTGTGGTTTGCTCTTTCTTTTCTACCAAATATCTATCATCCTTAATCTCTCTTCCTTTTCTTTGTATGATAATCTCTTGTAGTTTCACTAATCTTCTGCACTTGTGTGAATTATTTGTGCCACTAGTGCCATAAAACTCTTACCAAAACTAAAACCCCTACCATTGTACTGGGTCAATGACAAGTGTAGTTGTGTCTGTGTATCATTTCTTGCACATCGTTTGTCCAGTCAGTTGTAAAGATACCTAAGGGACAGAGCAGACAGAAAATACCTAAGAGACAGAACAGACAGCATGGGATGTGATGTTATGAACAACACAAGTTGTAATGATGGTTTTGAATGTCAAATGTACCTTGTAAAAGCTTGTTTCACTGCCCCCCCCATATACTGCCAGTCCCGCTTCCCGCCAACTTCATGTTCATCCAAATGTTAGCAATATTTATAACGAGGTTTGACTGTATTTCTTGGCCAGTGAAGCCCTTTCTGAAAATGCAAATCATGGTTCTGTCTACATATCACACAGCAAGGTTGTAGGAATGAAACCCCATTTGTGAGCAAGCCCAGAGGCATGGTCTACTCCACCTATTACAAAATCTCTTGCTGTGTCAGTATTATTTGTTTCTCATATTATCATATTCAAGTTTTCTCTTCGGAAAAAATAGAAAGTGTTGAATTCTTTGCAGCTGTGGTTGGTTTCTTGGTACTCATTCATAATGCTCAGAGCTTGTACTCGTATGGGATAGAGCACTTTATATAATCATACAATGCAGTCTATTTTCATTATTATTATTATTATTATTATTTATTGTTATTACTTGCTCTTTCACTAAGAGGTACACCTCTTTATTGAAGCACAGGATATTTGCCTTCCAAGTCTCGTTTGTCGTTTCAGCACGTTTTTTTTATTGAGGAACCTGTCTATATTATGCACTTCAGAATAGGAATCTAAGGAAAGCTGGAAAGCAGGGTGAATTGTACCGAAAAACAAGTTTGATTGTTTTAGCATTTTGGTTTTAGTGATAAATTTTGCTGTCGCACACTGGGTTGGAGGAGAAGTTGATCCATTCAAAAGATTTAGTAATCACACACTTCTTAATTTTTATAAAGCATGTCAATTTGCATTGAGTTCCTTATTTAAAATTTTTTTTTTAATTTGGCGGCGGGTGGAATGGGGGGAAGGGGGCTTTAGGTCATCAGTATGCCAAAGGTATTTTCAGATCATCTGTAGATCTTGATGTTTTGTCTCATCTTTTGTCTATTTTTAGTAAAGTTGTTCTTTGTAAATGGAAAAATGAGCAGTTCTGATCAATTAACCTTTTCGCCCCAAAGTTTTAGACTATAAGTAGCATGTTTAGTTTGGAATTTGTACTTAATCTGATACAGCCTAAGTGTATATGTTTATCATTATTATGCTGCAGTATTGACATAGGGCTTCTATCATAGTCTTGCGTATCTGAAAAAAAAAATGTATTGTTTTTTCTTGACTTAAGCCTCTAAGTAATTGTTTTTTATAACTTCAAAGTTTATTATTAGTACCTGCACACCATTCTACAGTGTTGATTTTAGCCATTGTGCAAGGGATGGGATGGTAGGTGGGTTTGATTTTGACCTAAGTCTAACTGATGTTGCACGTTGATGGTATGTATAGTAACAGTATAGAAGCTTTTTTTATGTATGTCGATTGATCCTGCCTACTCCTTCCTTTATAGCACACTTTGTTCCCATTTTCCCACTTCAACTAAATTTACGGATTCTTTTTCCGCTTTGAATGATTCTCAGCATCTTTGCTTTGTTACCTTTGTTGTTTTCAGTATCGGGAGGAGCGATTCCGACAGACAAGTGAAAGCACAAACCAGCGTGTTCTGTGGTGGTCCATTATCCAGACACTAATACTCCTTGTCACAGGATTTTGGCAGATGCAGCACTTAAAGAGTTTCTTTGAAGCCAAGAAACTTGTATGAGGGACACATAGTAGTGTCCTTTTTATTTTTTCTGTTAGTTTTTTTTGGGGGGGAGGTTCAAATTCGAGAACTGTTCAAAGCCATCATTTTAGGTTCCATGGGTATAACATTTTAATTTGACTGGTGTTCAGACTTTGTGAAGACTGCTGCAGTGTGAAAGATTTATTTAAAATTGCCAGTGATTCAGTTAAGAAAAAATGAGCCCAATGAAGTAAAGATCTTCTTTCCAATTTTTTGTTGGTTTAGTTGAACAGTGTTTGTGGAGTGGTTGTATTGTAGTGAGCTTATTTCGAGTTTGTGTGATGTGTGTGTGTGTGTGTGTGTCTGTCTGTGTGTACTTGATGAATGTGCTGATGTATGCATGAATAAATGAACATTCCTTGTTTGGTTTGCAAGTGGTAGTCCCGCAATATATCTTCTTGGTTTTGTTTCCTTTTTTTTATGATGGCGTTGGTGTTTTTTGCTTTCAAGACTTTATCAAATGCGTATGTTGTGTTGACTGGGGAGCATTGGGGTGGAATTTTTCAGTTTCATTGTGTGTGGGATAGGGGATTGTATACTTTGGTCATTATATGTCTGTGTTGTGTTGTGCTGATGTCAGTATCACCCTATACTTTTAAATACTTAATACAAAAGAGTCTGCTTCAATACAGAGGTATAATAGTAAAACTGCAAACTTTGTTTAGAAGATATGAAAGTAGAGATTGGATCTGTTACTTTCAAGAGAATCTCCTCTTTTTAAAAAAAATGTGGGGTTAGATAAAGGGACATGAAATAAGCGCTCAAAATGCCAAGAAAATGGCACTGTGAAAGACCCTAGTCATTAATTTGCAAAACAGACTTCGTGTTGCTGGTTTCTGTGTGTCTGTCTAATACGAGATCACCTTTCATCCATTCTGTTTGTTTTGTCGTAGCAGCAGAGCATTTCAATGCATGCAGCCACAATAATGACAGTTGTCAAGGGTGCCTTCATCTCTAAGGAGACTTATTCTTTGAAATTGATTGTCCCATTATTCTTTAATGGTTTTCCTTTGTGAAAGTAGTGCTTTTTAGATTGTCTTGTAACATTTTACGGGTGCACACTGGTTTTTCATTCTGTTGATGCTAAAGTGCTGTTCAACTACTCATACTTCTAACGAGCCCAAAGAAATGACATGGCTTAGATTTCTCAAAATGTCTTTCGAATAAAATGGAAGACAACTATCTTTTAACCTTTGAAAATGATTATCTTTCTTGCAAACCACTGCTTTAAATCGCATTCAAGTATGAATTACCACAAAAATGCCCAAGTTCACTGATTATCTGCTGTTGGGTGAACAACTCCAATTAGTGTATTAAAAAAAATCAAATTATACGGTGATGTTAGTGGCAGACAAGGCAACTCTACTGGTTTAGTTTTTCCAATTTACCCTGGGCTGACCTTTTTGAGCACATTTTGGAGAATTTGTTCTGCACTTGTTTGATGTCTGTAAGTGTCGCGTTTTTTGTGCTTTTTTTTTTTTCAAGGATAGTTTTACTGTTTGACATTATCCAAGGTAACTTGTTGTTTTGGATTACATCATGTCAGCTAATGGCTTTTTTTATGTTGTTACTAGTAAAGTGACCCTTCAGTGTTTTAATTTATATACATACAAGATAATCTCTTTGTTGCTGTGAATTTCTTTCATCACTACAAGTAATTTGTCTCTGACTTAGAGTATAAATAAAAGAAAAAATTCCCACATCTGCTGCGTCTCGTTTTTATATTCCTGACCCAGTTCAACCCCCTACACACCTCACTCCCTACCTATCCTTCCCTTTCCCTCCCGTAAGCTTTACTCTTGTATTACATACTTGATCGACTGCTGCGTGCACTAACTTATTGTACTGGACCGAGTATTACATACTTGATCGACTGCTGCGTGCACTACCTTACTGTACTGGACAGACTATGCAATCTGGAATAACCGCTTGTCAAATTCAGTTGTAGAAATATTATTCCCGTGTTGTATAGTAGTGACTTCAAAGCCTTAGCCTGGTATTTGGTGTGGCAGGAATGGGGTACATTTTGTACATTATAATTGCTGGTGCAGTTCAGTGGCTCCAATGCTTTTACTACCTGGGAGCAGTTTAATGGTTGTGGAAATTAGAAGACTGCAGAAATATGTACAGAAAATCACGAAGTTTTAGCTGCCTAAGCTTCTCAGAAAAATGTTATTGTGACTTTTCAGTTAAACATGGTAAAGTCTGACCCCATTAATTTATTGCTAGATGATTACTTGGTCCTTTAGAATCATTGATTCAATAATATTGAACAAAGCTTTCCATGCTTGACGCTTATAAGTATTATGGAAAATCGATGTTTTATCAATATAATAATATAAACTTAATTAAGAAGGTGTAAAACTTTTTCAAGACATGCATTTTTTTGGGTCCAATGTCATTGGACAATTGCAGTAGTGCTTGTCATAACCGTCACCTTTAATTTTAGCTTCCTTGTGCTCACAAAATAATACCGCTGATGACGGCAGCTTTCTGTGTCCTATACACTGTTTATTTGCTTACCTTTTCATCACTCTGGGAGATCCATGGGTGGCTGGCGGGTGCTTGTGTGGTTTGCTGCTCCTTTCCTATCAGTCAAGCATCTGTCGTCCTTATCTCTTCCCTCTTTCTTTCATGTATGTAGCACCTCTAATCTTCTTTTATTTGTATTTAAGACCTTTAATCCTCGGTACTTATATGACCTGATTGTGTTGCAAGTACAATGCACCATTAAACTCTTTATTAAAACTATTTTAAGAAATACTAGATCCTAGGACCATGTGGATGATTGGCGTGTGCTCTGGTGTGGTTTGCTCCTTGATGGACTTTCCATTCAAATATATCACCTTTATCTCTCCTTCTTTTCTTTGTATCTTACACTCTAATACAAGTACATGTAGTTACACCTGTAATCTTCTGCACTTATATGACCCGAGGTGTATGTGCCATTAAACTCGAACTAAAACTTAAATTTAAAGAAAGGATCATCTTATATCCACATTGCATTCTGTGGGGATTGTATTCCTACCCTGCTTTAAGATAAGATAAGATACATCTTTATTGTCCAGATCCTGGCACATTGGTTTGGTGTTCCACCACGAGTACACACACACACACACACACGCACACACACACACACACACAAACACACACACATGCACACACAAGCAGGCTTACAATCACATGCATAATATAAATGAGCAGCAATATAAACAATAATAATGGTAAGCTAGATACACACTCAATTTTTTTTTGATGCATGGTCAAAGGTCGTTAGTACACTAAACAAGATGGTTAAGATGGAAGCATTTTGATAGATGATGGTAAAAATGACCTGTATCTTTCTTTGTTACAGATCAGAAGCATGGGTCTTTTACTTCTGACTGATGTTTTTATTTGAGGGAACAAGGGATGTTTGTTGTCTAAAAAGATGGAATTAATTTTCTTAGTGCAAGCTGTTATGTACAATTCATCCAAGTAGGGGAATGAAGATGTTGAAATTTTACATGCTTTATATGGCGTTCTATGGAAACAGAAGCTGAATTTACCTCAAGGGGTTGAAACAGTAGACCCATTGCTGCACTCCTGTCTTCCGCCCGAGGCGGCCGTTGCAGGCAGGGTGAATGCAGCCCGGCTTCCACATTATAAATTGTAAGGCATCGTGGTGAAATCACTCGCTCGTCAAATTAATGAAATCGAAGAAATTGGCATTTTCCCGCACGTTTAGCTGGGTTTTTTTTGTTTAAAAAAAAAAAATTTCTTTCTTTTCTGTTTTGGTAGAATAAGAAATGAAGAGCTGTGGGAGAGGACAGGACAAAATGCAAAAGGAATAGCAGTAGAAATTGGACTAAGAAAGTGGCGATGAGTGGGACACACCCTCAGAAAGCCTAGCGGAAACATCACGAGACAGTCGCTGCAGTGGAACCCACAGGGCGCACGAGGCAAGGGTAGGCCACGGGAAACATGGAGGAGGTGTGTGGAGAGGGACTTGAGAGAGATAAAAGCTCATTTGGAACGAGCTGGGAAGGATGGCCCAGGACAGAGATAAATGGCTTGAGGGTGTTTGTGGCCTATAGCCTATACCCTGCTAGAAGTGAAAGGCGTTGATGATGACCTTCAATGTCCATTTAAAACATCCCTGTGTAGATTTTATTGAAAAATGTTTATCAAGGGAACAAACAAGTGAATTTGCTGTTTCCAAGAACTCTCAAGATTTGGAAGTCACCAAACTTTGGCGGCCATTTTCTCTCTAATTTTACGTCTGAAACCAGGCGACACCCACCTTCTATTTAGTCGCAAATATCTCGACTTTTATTCAAAATAGATAGTATTGTTTTCATCAAAAGCAAGACAAATAAACAAGCTTTTCGGTGATATCAATAACTCCACATGTCCCAAAATTGACGACCGCCTGGTTCCACCACGTTGCGACACAATTGTTTCATTGTGTACATTGATTGTTCAGTAGTTGGCTGTGGAAAACATTTTGAAATTCTTTGCTAACTCCTGGAGTCCAAGATGAAGGCATATAATATAAAATAATATATTATATCATCGTACACTTTCCAGGCGACCCTGGTTTGCGTCCACCCCAACTGCAGCATCTGTGGTTAGGCTCTTCGCCATTAGCTGTCCCCGTCGTTTTAGGCAAGAAAACTTCTGAAATTATGCTAAATGAGCCCCAAAATGTGAAATTATGGGATTCTGTTAATTTTAACCAAGAATGATAAGGGAAAATAATCCGAAATTATGCAGAAAATGATCAAATTTTGCAAAATTATGCAGGGTGCATAAAACCACGGGGACAGCATTAGGCACAAAAGGTGCGAGTTTGGTTCCCACGTAGGAAGTTTATTTCTTCTACTGGAATGGTGTACAGTATTCCTCTCAGTCAGCCCCGGGTTAGCCTTCACCACAGTTAGAGTCGCAGCAGCCTGCCTCGGTTATATGAATTACTTCTTTTTGGGCGTGGAATGTCTTCAATCAATTAAGAACAAAATGGTGCGCTGAAAATGTACGAAAGAGAGACCCAGACTTGACTACCACGGGACGTTTTTTCTTCGAGTTTTCCAAGTCTCGTCATAAAGTAAAGACTGTCGATGACAATGTTGTGTGCTCGATATTTCGAAGCCTGAGATTTCTAACTTCAACCGGCACTGACATAACATGTTTGGAGAAAAGAAACAGTCGATGTCTGAAGTCTGAAGCACGTTCTTTGAAAAATACATGCATTGTATAATGTCGTTATGCCGCCACTTCAGGGGACGGTACTGCATCGAAAGCACTAGAACTGGACTGCATTGAAAATCATGAATGCTTCCTAGACTTATGTAATGAACGTCAGTTCTCTTCAATGGAAACATTTCATTTTTCACACCCTCCAGTTATCGGGTGAATTTTGCTTTGTTCTGTTTTTTTTATATTTTTAAAAAATAAATATTTTAAATATAACAAGAAAATACTGGCTAGATTCTTTCCCGTACAACCTGATTCCCGTTGGCGGATAAATAAAACTAAAACTAATAGTAAATAGACGTATGTAGCAGTAGCATGAGCAATCTGTGCTGTGTAAAAGCTTGGATCGTTTGGTTAGCTGCCTTTCAATATTGCATAGTAAATCTCTCTCTCTCTCTCTCTCTCTCTCTCTCTCTCTCTCTCTCTCTCTCTCT